ATAAAAACAATAAACCCAATAACCTAAATGCTTTAAAAAGATAAACCTTCTTACATACAATGATATAAATTGATTTAGGAAATTATACAACTTAATGCGTAATGAAAGTTTTATCAAAACATTAAAATTAACTCCACATGTATCAGACATTGTTATAGAATCAAAACATGTAAAGTCAGTTTTAAAACTTTAGTAAAATAAAATTTTTATTGTGTAATATACTGTCTAATAGTTTAGAAGAAGCTTATTTCTCTATGGATGAATCAAAAATAAGCAGGTAACAAAGTGTGAAAGTTAGTGTAGCAATCTTCATTGACATCACATATGTATAAGTAGCTCACTCTGGAAGCATGAAAATCTTTAAGTTAATGTTGAATGATAATATTGTAATTGTGGCAGTGATTTTTGGTAAATGGAAAGATAGGAATAATGCATATTAAGATATGTGAGAAGGAAATATTTACTAAAGCTCCATAATTGTATAAAAGGGTTAACTGTAAGGTAAATGCATAGAGCAGATTAACATTTTCGAAATTACCTTTCTACAATATTTTGAAATAAGCCCCAACTTTTAATATGAGAAATGCTGACTTTACATAAATGGATTAAATAATATACTAATGCCTACTCTACTCTCTTAAATGCATGTCAAATAAACTGTTGTACCACATGGTCCTAAGAAATCACAGTGTACAGCATCTAGAGAACAGATTATTCTCCATTCCCAAAATTCTTCTGATTTAATTTTTTTCAAATGTATTAATTCTTTTCTAATACCTTTATTGACATAAACAATTTAAATATTGAGGTTACTAACTACACATATATAATTAAATTTATGTAACAAATGATCTGTTTACTCTAAGGTTGATATTCATTAAATGTATATGGTAAACAAATGTAATAAAACAAATCTAGGTGAAATAAGAAAAATATCATACTCAGGTTTATTTAAAGAAAAATGACTCCAGGACTTGAACCCAGAAACTAGCTAACAGGGAAAGTGATCTAATCCTGAGATATCTGAGAGTACAAGCCATCGTTGGCTATGTACACATGGTAAAAAAGACTTAAGTGAACAGTGATGGGGACATCTTGTACTCTTAGATAGATTAGTGGTAGAGAACTGACCCTGTTAGGAAGAAGTCCTGGTCCTTTGAGTCTTTTCATTTATCGGCCTTTTTAGTTAAAAATAAATGTTAGATATTATCCTTTGTTTCTTAAAAAACAAAAACTATAAATGAAAACAATCCTGTAAAGATTGGGATTCAAGTTGATACAATTTATATTCAGAATTGTTTAACAGCTTTATTATACATAAACGTTTCGTTTTTTGGAATATCATAAAAATACATTTATATTCAAAGCACCACCATTTTTGCAAAAATTGAAAGGTATTTTAATTGAAAGAAACTATGCAATCAAGTGTTGAAGTAATTTCTCTGAAACTGGACATATACTGTTGTATCATAACCAATAACATTCCATCTCTTCTTTAGATCTTAAAAAATTACTAATATATATAATTAACTGAATGTACAATAAAACCATAATTTTGAAATATCTCACTCAAAATATATCTAAATAACTTTTTTATTTGATTTCATTATTGTATGATTTTTATCCTGGTTTGTATCTTCTCTTCCAAAATATTTTAATGATAACAGCCAAAGCATCTTGGAAGAAAAATGTTAAATAAATCTCTTTGTGTTTAAGAATCTGATGTGTAGTATATTTAATGCATGATAGTATTTTACTTTTTCTTTAGCCATATTTTATGATGTAAAAATTATAAATAAGCAAAGAAAGTGATTATTTGTATATAATTATTAAGCGTTTACTTTGAAGCACTATATCATTATAGAAATTCCTAAACAGTGCACATTAGCAAAAGAAATAGCATACTGTAATTATTTCCCATTCACAAAATCCTCCCCTGTAGTTATGCACGTAGTTCTAAATCATTTCACAAGTTTCAAAATCTGTCTCTTTGCACAATCTTTATGTCTGTGCTTGAGGTTTTCAAAATATACCCAGAAGATGAATAAACATCTAATGCACATATATCTACAATTTTAAAGACATTTTTTCATAATTTCTTTTAAACATAAATATACATGTGATGGAAACACATTTTCCTATTATACTAATATGTAAAATTAGTAGCAAGACAACTAAGTGTACTAAGTGATCTTCAAAATCTTGGTTAGATCTTTAGAAGAGTAAAGAAGGTATAGTATATATGTCCACTATTGTAGTTAGTTTGAGTAAATGTTTTAGTGTTACATTAATAACAACTTGAAAAGATAAGTTAGTACATTGGGATACTGTCAGTTTGACTTTTATCATTGAGTTGGACAGCACCAGTAAACCAGTAAAAGATATACAGCATGTGAATGCACCTAAAAAGGCTATATTTGGTGATTATATAGTTTTTAACAACTTAAAATGGCTGGAGGTTGGGTTTTTTTCATTCTTATTATTATTATGTGTGAGGTATCATAATTACTATTAATAAAAGGTGAAGGCAAGCTGTTTTCTTGGTATTATCAAGGGGTAACTACCATGCCCACAACTGGCTGCAGAGACTGAATGCATAGATGGATTCAGGTCACTGCAGGTTAAAGAACCCAAGTCATGCCCATTAATTCATGGTTGCAAACATCTTAGTTTTGAACCTGTAATTATGTGAATACTGAAGGGACAGGATATCCTAAACATTGGTTGGATGCTATCACAAATTTATTCAGAACAAGAGTAAACCTTTATATAATATTTTTTCTTTTTAAAGTGAAATTTATTATTGGTACATTCTCTCCATTATTTTGTGGTGCTGGTTTATATCACCTATTGACAGTTGGTACAGTTCTGTTTTTATGTACTTATATACATACACATAGAAGGAGATAAATATATGTGTGTGTGGAATGTAAACATACATAAATAATGATGTACCTGAGCACAGATGTATTTGTAAATATTTCAGTGTGTGATCAATGGTCTTTAACAATTATACACCTCAATCATCATTCAAACAAAAACAGTATATGAATTTTCATAAACACTGTTTCATACACTACAATACTTACCTCATTAAAGCTACAAGTCTGGGTTTCCCAAGCACTATGACACTTAAAAGTCTCACAAGTGTCAGATAATTGTCTGGGTGTAGAATCTTTGGAATCAAAGCATAAATAGTCAAATTGTACTTTGCCAGGGCTTTTTATATTTTGATTTGCAAAGGTTATTATGCCTTTGGAGCCAACAGACATGAAGAATTCTAATACAAATAAAAAAACACTCCTAAGACAAATACAAATCAAATAACAAATAAAAAATTACTAAAAGAAAGTATGTAACTAAAAAGATACAAATAAAATGACTTCCACATAATAACACTAGTCAGCTTAACCTTGTTGGATGGTAGAGAGGGAGAGCATATTACCCTTCTGCCCTGTGTTAGGTACCTATGACAACTAATACTAAAAGGTTGCTCATTATTAAACATTTTGCACAATTTAAAACCTGCTTTCTAATCTTATACTAATAACTGCTAAAAGAGTAGTAAATCCTTTTTAATAACAATACTGTTTAAAAATAAAGTTCACTAAAGAAGGTTTTTTTTTCAACATTAACCCTTACTTTGTCCATTATGACTCAAAATCAGAAGTCTCCTACAAGTCACTGCCCAAGAAGCCTTTCATTCAATACCAAAGCTCATTAGTTGGGCTGGCCAATGAGAGACAAAAAGATTCTATGAAATGCTATTCATATATGTAGTATATTACTTTAAAAGTTATGGTTTAAAAGCCGAATACTGGTGGGCATTTGAGACAAAACATTTTTTAGAAAAATCCCATTAACTGTAGACATTTTTCTTTCTACATTTCTCTTAATTTGTCCAATGCAGTTCAAAATCAAAGGTATATGTTTAATTATGTTTGTTTGTAATTGTTTGTAATTAAGCACAAAGCTACACAATGGGCTAACTGTGCTCTGCTCACCACGGGTATCAAAACCCAGATTCTAACATTGTAAGTCCGCAGACATACCGCTGTACCACTGAGAGGCGTTTAATTATGAAATCATTTTATACTTACTGAAAAGATTGTATATAATATTACTGTTCTTACAGTCAAATACTCCACAGTACTAGCACCAGGCCACTTTTAGATCAAAACTCAGATAATTTATCTTTATAAAAATATTTCCAAATTTAAAACTCAGTTTATGCCTATACTCATTATGAAATTTTCATCCAAGGTATCTGTAATTAATCACAATAAATACAGTAAGCCCTCATTAGTCCAAACATGAAGATCCAGATCATTAACAACTTCGATGGTTTTTCATGTAGAAAAATCTTCAAATTGGAAATTTAATCAATAATCGATATAACATAACATTCTGGGACAATGTGGGACCTATTGGTCTGTCTCAGCTGTTCCATCTTATCAACTAAATTAAAATTATTTTAAAAAAATCAATAAATAACAAAATCTTAAAGCCAGCCCTTATCATTCATATACTTATCAAGCTTTTTCTTAAACTCACTTAAATTTACTGCCTCTACAACATCTGAAAGCAACCCATTCCAAAGGCCAACCACCATGTTAGAAAAATAAAACTACCTTAGCTGAAGATGACTCCTACCTTGCTAAAAATTATACTTGTGTCCCCTAGTCCAATTACTCTCATTGTTAAATATAACTATTATATCCACATGACTTATCTAGGAGTCACCTATAACTATAACCTCCTTATCATCCACATCCTTCTCTGACCCTTTTGTTTTTCTTCCCTACAATAGTTCCTCATCTGCAGAAGCCAAGGGCTTAAATATGTAGCTCAACAGAACAGGCTCATTATAACTAAATTCACTACTTTTAGCCCTAACAGTACTCTTTCTAACTTCCTGAAAATCAACGTTAGCTGATGTATCTCATGCATGTAATAGCTTAAGCTCCTCCTGAAATCCTGCTGCCATTTCCACAATCTATACTTTATCTATTGCATCTACCTTAATCATGGTAGCCTCTAACTTCCCCTCCAATCTACAAACTCAACATCAAAAATTGCACATCTTCATTACTAACTTTCTTAAAAGTACATTCCAGTCCCAAGTTCCCAAATAAAACCCACTCATTGCACCCATTTCACCTAACTGTGAACATTTAACTCCTACACTAGTCTTAACTATTGTATTTATACTTATACTGTTATAGCCTGAAAATAAATACTCAATACCAAATACCAGTAGCCTATTGTTAACACTGTTACTGTTAAGCCTAACGTTTAAGAATGTAATTCTTTATCACTACTTTGTCTTCACACTAAAGTAATAAAGTTATTTTTAGTTATACAGAACTTAATAATTTATTAGAACAATATACATAACGTTAATAATAAAATGTATTTACTTTAGCCTGATTTATGTTATAACCTACCTATATCTATAAGCTGAATTTAAACTAATGGATCTAAGTTCAAATAAACACATTAATTTACAACACCAAGAGACAATAAACTAATTTTAGATCGTATTTATTTAATAAAACAATGTATTTATCTCGTTTTACAATTTACCAGTGAGTATAAATATGCCTAAACCTAACATACCGTTAAACACACCAAACCTATTTTAAGTTAAAATGTTGTAATAATAATTTACACCCCTAAACTCTATACTTAAAACTTTGACCTATCTTATTTTTATTAACCAATCTTATTATATATAGTTATTATTGTGTTATTTAACCCAAATTATAATAATAATATTAAATAACTTTCAGAAATCTATGAGCTTAACTTTTCAACATCCTCCCCCTCTTCAGTAGTGTCCCTTAATTCAAAACAGCTATTTCTTATAACAAACATACATTTCCAACATTCAAGTAATTGTATATACTGACCACAAACACATGCATTCACACCAGGAACTGATTTATGACAGTTTTTTCTGAAAATGACCTTCACTCGCAGTGAGCACTGGTTTGTAATAACTGTTCTGAAAATGACCTTCATAGTAGGAATGTATATATAAACTATAACAGAGTTTTATAGTTCATTAGCATGATTTATGCTACAGTCATATCAAGTCACAGTGCTCTGAAATGAAGATGCAAAGAAATAAAACATGAAGCTTCTTTGTATAAGAAAACATAAAAAGTACTTTCTATTCAATAAGTAAGTCATTGGCTTCAGCAAAATGATGACTTATGTGACAATAATGACATAATATGCCACTCTAATTATGCAATTTGTATAACTATTGAAGACAATTCTGAGGAAAACAACATATTTTTATTCTACCTGTCGTGTTGGCTTATGCCTTTTTCAAGAGCCTTTGAACATCAAAGGATACAAAACTGATTTTTAAATTATAGTAACTTAAGAAAAATATAAACTAAAACAATACAACAGAATAGTGCACAATGAAGCAGGCTAATAGTATTGTTAAACAGAGTACATTTGCTGATCAAAATAAATGTAAATAAACAAAAATTGAATAAACATTACATTAGATAATAATAGTTTTACAGAGGCCAGGCATTGTATCTGTTAATAGTAAAGGATTTGGATTGAATCAAAAGAGATTCCTTAAATTTCTTTTCTAGAAAGTTTTCATAATTCTTTATTAATCAACTCCCTGGCATAAAGCTCACATTTACACATACTAATGTCTGGAAGTCTATACTCTTTCTTGATGCTGTGGTTACTATTGAAAACAGCACACTTTTTACAACCATATATTCTAAACTATAATACACATTATTACAAATTATGAGGTTTAAATATATCTAGCTAACAGACAATTTTAACCTAATTTTTTGTATATACAGACAAAAAATTTTT